ATTCTGCTCTGTAATGCCGCGAACACCAGTTAGCACCGTCTGGTCTGAGATGAACGGCGACTTCGGTCGCCACGATGTCACCATAGCCAAGCGTTCTTTGCCACCGAATGCTTTCAATGCCTGATGCTCAATGTATCGGCCTTGCATGATCACAGCAGTTCCCTGTTAGACAAAAGTCAATGCCGATTATTCGACAAACATAAACGAGGACGAGAAAGTCACCATTGTTGGCCCTCGCACTTTGATTATCTCACCCGAAGCTGTCTTGATGGCAGTTTCCCCTCCAATCATCTGGGTACAGTCGGAAAGCATGGTGACGCAGACGAACGGAGTACTGTCAAAATGCCATCCGAATGCAGGTGTCTCGTCAGCGCCTAGCTGTGACTTGTCATCCGAGCCAAATGACACATTGATGTGGCCGACATCGCAGGGGAGAGTGGGTACCAGCTCTACACCAGCAATGTCAGAAATGATTGCTTGTACTTTCTTATTGTGCCATGCTTCCCAGGCAAATGTCGCGTACTTCGGTGCATACGCCCGAATCATATGTTTCGCGAAACTAGATGAGACTAGGCAGTTATTCAGAACTTCCGGCGTGAAAGCCTCTGCGCGCATTTGGTTGATAGCATCCTCCGTGAAGAGCGGGAACGGCTCTGATACGGCTAATGGAGAGATCCCATAACCTTCATATCCTATGTCCTTCATTGTTATGGCTTTAGGAACGGTTTTGTAGCTAAGATGCATAGCTGGGTCGAACGAGATGCGCTCCTTCAGGATGTTTTTCTCTATAAGACTTTTTGGTAATGGAACGCTCGGTCTAGTCACAGTCTTCTCAAGTGGCGCGACTGGCATAGGTGGACTGAGAATGGATGTACTCATGTTGAAAGCAGTTGAGTTTAGCTATGTGGCGATAATGTCTCTTGATGATTTGCTCGATAGAGGATTGATGGTGTCCTTTCATGTTGTAGAAGAGCCCATATTCCGCATATATATGCATAAATTATGCTAACTACTCTTACAATGGTAATTCACATGGTTAAAACAATGAGTCTTTCGAAAACATCAACGAAGTTATATGTAGCTGCCCCGCCTCCTCAAACGACCCTACGAATCTGTTCTAGGTCAAACTTTGCGGAAGACTCATCGAGACCGCGTTCTATTGATAACAATGCAAGGGTAGAATGTTCGCATGATGCATCTCATCTTTTTGAACATTTTGGATTAGCGTAAGCATGATGCTCAACCCCAGTCTCAACTTTATCAATATTCAAAAGCGACCATGCTCGATAACAAAAGTTGGAAACTTTTGTCTCACATATACCTAAGTTGTTATTTCGCGACAGCATCCGTAGTCTGCATCATGTTCGATATCGTACAGTAGTTATTGGAGTACTTAATCATCAAGATTGTAAATGCCGGCAGTTTCGCCATGTGGAGAAGAAGATACTGAGAGGCTTCCCATAGCGGCGAGAGGCCCGTGATCGTGTCAAGTTGGCGAAATAGCACCGTGATGTATGTTGTTGTATCACACACCTCGCGAAGTCAACCCGATCCTATTACATGTCTTGCAAGATTGCTTAGTTATTGAAGTGTTGATCACTAGCCCTATCTCGAGTAAGCTGCATTTCTTTCCCAAATGGGTACATTTGAATCAACTTGCAGTAACTTACGCGAGAAGCCTATGCAATACGGAATTATGGCCAGATACTCATTTTCCTCCTGGCCATCCACCCTCACTCTATAATACGAAGAAATAGAATCCATTTTATTGAATTTACTGCAAATGGCGGAGGGGCGCACAAACCATTCGAGTGCATTTCTTTACTCTTAATAAACTCAATAATCGATGCAATTTGAACTAAAATCCTTCTCTACGAACATTATTGAACTATGTTATACCCGCCTGACACAGTCGTACATAGTTAAGTCTATAAAGTTTTATTATCTAACTCTATCTCCACCTAGTGCAAGTTCTGTATGGTAAAACTACAGTATTATAGCTTGTATCCCTAAGCTTCTCGTCTTCAGTATAGAAGCTGCAACGATAAACCACCCCTGCTCTCTCTTTCGTAACACTATCGCTTGATTCTTTAGAGCTCTTAGGAGATAATTGTACAATGTATTCCTCTTTCTAGAAACTATACGGTTCTTCTATAGTAGTACAAGTAGTCTTTACAAAAACAACAGATAAAGATTATATCTAATAGAGTCAAGCTACAATAGTTCTTCACTCTTTGGCTTTTGTGTTGTTGATACGATAAACAGAAGTGCGCTCTTGAAGCACTTTTTTGAGAAGTCTCCATAACGATAGCTTGGACCTCTTCTTTGTTCAATCGTGCTGCAGTGAAGAAACCTCTCTTACTTTGAGAAGCTTTGATCGTCCTTCTTTCTCTCCTAGGAGAAGGACAATCGTCCATCTTCATGGCTAAGCTCATGCACCTCTCAATCGACTAAGGGCGTTGATAAGCCCAGAGAGAGCACTTGTGTACATCACTTGTGCTTTGGTGATCTCTGGCTCTCCCCTCGCGGTTTGTGAGCCAAAACTTCGTATTATAGCTCGTTTAGGTGGTGGGCCTTGCTTATTAAGGCGTTCGAATAGCGTAAGAGCTCTTTTTCTTGCTGTGGGCGAAGAGCCTATCAAATTTGAGACTTAAGGCTGCGCTTGTTGAAGTGGTGGTGTTATTTTGGTGGGTAGCTCGTTGAGCCGTGGGGCCCGTTGAGTGTTGAGCCTCAGTATCACTCAAGAGACTCGCAAAAGAACATTAACGTGATTTACAAGCGAGCGCCGCACCCCACCAACTTCGCACACCTTTACAAGCGTGTAGCTCCACCATATATATGTATGCGGATCCTGCCGGCAGTTTTCACGCAGCAGAATATCCAGGCAGGCTTCCGGGCGGCAGGCCTTGTTCCTCCTTGTCCAGATCGTGTTCTATCGTCGTTAACTATCGTCCGGACGCCGTCTCCACCACAGAAAGCTACAGATTATAACGCTACAGCCTAGGCAGCAGCGCAGACAGAGACACCACATACAGTAGAACAGCTTCAGAAGCAGATATGCTATCTCCAAGAGCGACTGCGCCACCAGCCAGAGAGGCCAACGAGCGTTGCGATACGTCAGCTTGCTAAGAGCGCTCAGTCTGCAATGCAATTAGCAATAATACTTGCAGAGGAGAATAAGAAACTAGGTGAAGAAAATCAGCGTCGACGACAAAATTAGAGCCAGCCGCGCCAATATATCGCTCCTGGTGGAGTGCTCCAAGTACAGCAGGGTCAGCAGCTTGCTGCAGAGACGGAAAGGATGGTCATAGAAGCTAGCCAGAGCCAGGGTGGTGAGCGACGTCAGCGCGCGTCGCCGACGTGCACGAAGTGCTATACTCAAGGGCATACTCGCACTTCATGTAAAGTTATATAATAAACTATAACTATCTCTTAATTTTATCTAGTTAATTTTGTTACAATATTGTGGCTTAATTACGAAGAACGTTATCTCAGGTTGGGTGTTATCTCATTAATCAGACGCACCCCTGTTGGACTAGCGTTTCGCTTAAACTCCTCCACCAATTAGAGATTGAT